TGATAATGAACATGGTAATTTATGTTTACATATCTGCCTCCCACACTGGACCATGAATTCCTTAAGAGATAGGCCTATTTCTTATTTTAACAATAATTACAACAACAACAACAACAGTAACCACAGCTATATTTATAGAGAACTCATTTTAGTTCAACCATTGTGGAGGACAGTATGGCGAATCCTCAAAGATCTAGAACTAGAAATTCCATTTAATCCAGCAATCTCATTACTGGTTATATACCCAAAAGATTACAAATCATTCTATTATAAAGACACATGGACACATATATTTATTGCGACACTGTTCACAATAGCAAAGACTTGGAACCAACCCAAATGCCCAACAACGATAGACTGGATAAAGAAAATGTGGCACACACACACCATGGAATACTATGCAGCCATAAAAAAGGATGAGGTCATGTCCTTTACATGAACATGGATAAAGCTGGACACTATCATTCTCATCAACTGACACAAGAACAGAAAACCAAACACCGCATGTTCTCACTCACACACTGGGGAACATCACACACTGGGGCCTGTCAGGGTTGGGGGGCTAGGGAAGGGATAGCAGAGGGTTGGGAGTTGGTGAGGGAATAGCATTAGTAGCATTAGAAGAAATACCTAATGTAGATGACAGGGTGATGGATGCAGCAAATCACAATGGCATGTGTATACCTATGTAACAAACCTACACATTCTGCACATGTACCCCAGAACTTAAAGTATAATATAAAAAAGGGGACTCATTTTGTGTCATTTGCTGTTGTAAATTCTTTATGTGATTATCTTTTCTTATTCTCTTAACCATCCAATGAAATCGATAGTGTCATTGATCCCTTTTATTGAGGCACAGAGACATTAGATAGTTGTCCAGGGACACAGCTTATAGGTAGTGGAAATGGGATGCAGACTCAGGAGGCCTGATGCCAAAATCCTTGTTCTTGGAAAGTGCTCAATGCCACTGCCTCCATGTAAATCAGATTCACAAACTGTACATCATAAAGGCATGCTCTGGACAAGCCAAATTGATGGACATTCTACAAAATCTCAGAATAATGCCACTCAAAACTGTTTAGTTTATCAAAAGGAAAGAAAATCTGAAAAACTGTCATCTAGAGAAGCCTGAATGAAGACTGTTATGCAGTATCCAAGCGAGGAACCTGGGACAGAAAAAGAACATTAGGTAAAAATGAAGGAAGTCCAAATAAAGTATGTGTTTTAATTAATAATAATGTATCTGCATTTGTTCATTACTTATCATAAATATACGATTAATGCAAGATGATAACAACAGGGGAAACAGCATGAGGGCATGCTGAAACGCTCCAGGATATCTTTGTAACTTTCCTGTAAATCTAAAACTATCCTAAATTTAAAAGTTTATTTTTAAGAAAGTCATTCTCTTTAAGCAGTCTTTTAAAGGAGTGGCTTATTAAAATTTTCATATGCATATTAATCACCTGGAGATATTGTTAAAATGCAGAATTTAATTGAATTTCTGAAGAGGGGTCTCAGCTTCTGCAGTTTAAAAACATGCCCAGGTGTTGCTGATGCTGCCAGTACAAGGGGCACATTGCAAAGCTGGAAGGTTTTAAAATACACAGTGGTGTTGTCAGATGTGTTTAGTGCAATTGCATGTGTAAGAGGTTGTTTCCAAGCAGCAGTGTTCTTCACCAAATTATCTCCTAGGCAACACTTTTGCAGAAAACCCTAAAGGACTGGCCATTAAAACACAGATACACTGTTAAAATAGTTTTCACTTCAGTGAAAATATGCCTCAGTATTAATTTCTAGAGAGAACTGGTCTCCATTAGTGTGTGTGTGAGTGTATGTGTAACAGAAAGAGAGAGAGTGTCTGTGTGTTTGTGTACACATGTGCTTAATTTTAAACCATTTCATAAAAAAGACCAGAAGCTCTGGGTGTGTCTATGGTAGAGAAGTGGTCATAGGCAAAGTTCACACCTCTAGAACTATGGTTCTCAAACAAGTAGCTTTTCAATTACAGTTCAGTCAGGATAGCATTTGATTCCCAGTCACTTGGTATCTTTTCTGCATGAGGAGGCATAAACGAAAAGTACTCACTTGGGCAGGGATATGTATGTTCAGTGACTAGAGTGGAAGGGGGCTAGTACTAGCTCTTTGAAAAGTTATGAATATAAAATTTTGTGTTATAAATACAAAAAAAGTAAAGCAATGCTTCTTACTGTGTATTTTATGAAACATTGCTGCTGCAAGACACTTCCTAAAAAAGGGGATCTATGGTCAAATAATTCAGGAAAACACCTCACAAATGCACTATGGATGTTTAGCATGGCATTGTTTATTAATATGGTTCCATTTTATTGAATAATGAATGATGAAGTCTTAAGAAAAATGGTCATAAAAGTAAAAGCACACTGTGATGACATTTCTTTTTAAAAAACAAAAACATAAGTGTATGTGTTTGCACACATACATATCTTAAAAACAAAAACATATATATGTGTGTGTGTTAAAAAGACCCCAAAAGTGCATTAAAATGCTGACAGTCATCTATTCTATTTGGTGTGGGTTAGTGATTGCTTTTAAATTTTACTATAAGATGACACATAATGCAAAGTGTCATCAAATTCAATATGATTAGCTGCATTTTACATGTGCATGATGATTACATAATAAATACTTAACATTTTATCCCTTACACTCACAAGTTACAAAAGTTGACTTAAAAATACACGTACCTAGGAGAAAATATAGTATGTATTTTAACAATCCCAGGCATGATGGGATGTCTAAGTTCAACGCTACCATCAGAAATCATAGTATTCATAATAACTGACAAATTTATATAACAAAGATCTAAAGCTTTTGATAAGAAGAGACACTAGAAGCACAGTTTAGAGACTGTGGTATACAGAATTCTAAGATGGCGCCGAAGAGTCCTCTCCCCCATGGTAGATGCACCTTGTGACTATGCTATGATTAAATTATGCTATGTGGCAAAAGTGGAAGAATTTTGCAGAATGTAATTAATCAGCTGAGTTTGAGTAATCTAAAAAAAGACTATCCTAGGTGGACGTGATCTCATTAGGTTAGTTCTTTAAAAAGGAGTCAGGGCTTCCCTGATATCAGAAAGATTCAAAACGAGAAATTCTGTTGCTGGCCTTGAAGAAGCAAACTGCTTTGCTGTGGTGAGGCTGTGTGGCAGGAAATAGCAGGCGGCCTCTAGGAGCAGCGAATAGTCCCAGGATGACAACAGCAAGAAAGCGTGGACCTCAGTCCCACAACTTCAGTACAGTGAATTCTGCCAAATACCTGTACGCTAAGCAAGGATAAGATCATCAAGATCACAGTCCCAGCAAATGACTCTATTTCAACCTGGTGAGAGACCCTAAGCAGAGGAGGAACTTATCCTATACCCAGACTCCTGACTTACAGATACTGTGAGACAGCATGTTTGTGTTGGTTTAAGCCATTGTGGTTTGTGGTGATTTGTTATGTGGTTATAGAAAACCAATACAGTGATAAATAATGAATCAGAAAAATATTTGTCACATATAGAAGTGAAGGATAATATAACATCAGGGATGATATCCAAAGCATTTAAGAACTTGTTCTAAATGAGTACACCAATGAACATCAACGCTGGCCACAGTCTAGACTGAGCATAAAAACTGAACACTAACCCTGACCTTAGATTAAAAACTCTCCCACAGATTACCAAGAACAAGGAAAACCCATTTAACAAATAGGGAAATAATTCAATTAATTTACCAAGGAAATTCAAATGACCAAAAACATACAAAATGTTAAAGATCTCATTACTAAGCAGAGACAAATTAAGACAATGAAGTGCTAACCTGCCTATAAAAATCACACAGATAAAAAGTTGTAACTTCATCCAATTATGGCTGGGTATGAAAAACAAGCATTATTTTTCTGGGTTATGGGAATGTAAATTACCATATTTTAGAGGAAAATGTTTCTTATAAAAATAATTGAATAAATATATATGTACCAAGAGGCATAATGCATGCTGAATTTTATTTATCATAATTTTAATCTTGTTTATCTTCTTGTCCTAAATCTACGGTACATGCAATCAGGGACTCATGTCACATATTTGGAGCTCACAAAATGTTTGGTGAATGAGTAAGTGATGTTAACCGCAAGCGCTTTTATATTAGCAAACCAAGTGGCCACCATTAAGCATAGCAAACTATGCTTAACCACATATAGTAGAACACCATATTCTTATTTTTAAGTTATATAAATTGACTTAGGAAAAATCCATAAGACACTGTTGAATAAAATAAACAATTTACAAAAGTAGTACTATTATATGTTCTAACTCATAAAAGGGAAAATGTGTAAATATATATGTTCACATATAAAGAAATATGCATATTTACCAAATTGTTAATAGTGGTTAACCTTGAGAGAATAGGGCTTTTAATTTGTTTTGTCAACTACTATGAATTAGTTTCATAGGAGCACCTATTTCTTTTATAAATTGAAAAATTAATAAAGTTCAACTCTTCAAAGGAAACTTGGAATTTATAAATTTACTTCTTCAGAGTCAGAAGTTCAGCTCATTTTGCTTAAACTAGGTATTCTTAATCAAGCACCAATGGATACCTAGGGGTCAAACAATGAGGCCTGTAATCACTTTGGAATTATTTCCAAAATATTTTTCAAAGAAATGGTCCATAGTTTCATTAGCTTTTCAAAAGTATTTATAGTCCAATATCATTTTCATCCCTCCAATTACCGCCTTTTACTCAACTAGTAATTTATTTCAATTTTAAAGAACCCATGGCAGTAGACTCCTTGACTTTAACCTACTAGCTTTCGAAGGAACAACAGTGAAGCTTAAAGCCCACCTGGAAGCATTAAGTACCCAATGCTTAAATAAACTACTTCTGTGTCAGAATTGTCAGACATGCAACACTTAAGTGGTTTCTAAAAAAGACCAATGCTAAGGTTGGCTTTCAGGAAAATCCAACACTCACCATTTTCTTCATGGCAATAATCAAATCCTGCCACGCTACATCTTCGAAAAACCATCTTATTCTCAGTGAGGGTTCCCGTCTTATCAGAAAAGAGGTACTGAATCTGTCCTAGATCCTCCGCGATGTTCAGTGCTCGGCACTGAACAGTAGAATCCATTTTCTCATTGTAGAAATCCACATCATTTTGAATGAAATATATTTGTCCAAGCTTCACAATTTCGATGGAAACATAGAGAGAAATGGGAATCAAGACCTAAGAAGATCCAAACAAGTTTTAAAATGTTAAAGTAGGTTAAAGAAAGGATGTGAAGCTGAACATAGCTGGTTAAGCAGCAAAGATGTTAACATTCTACCATAAGCTTAATAAAAATTACCTGTAACAAAATGATCATGGTCCAAAACATATAGAATCCTGCCAACAGTGGTGATATGATATGTCCATCAGGCTCGGGGATATTGAAAAAATGCATCTTTTCATACCTGCTCAACCAGATTCCATGACCTTTCAAAAAATACACAGACATCAAAAGGATGCTAAATATATAGCATGCAAACAAAAAACTTTATTCCTGAAGGAGAGGGAATGAGAGTATTCATTTTGATTCAACACCAATTGTTTGTTTTTGGAAACAAAATTCAAATTCAAAAGGTTATACATTCTTCCGTCTCACTCTTTCTCTTTAAATCACTCTCCAGGTTTCTTCAGTACTATGGCAAAATATGAATTAATATAGTCAGCATTAATATTTTACAGGCCAAAGGATGAATGAGACAAGGATGTGAGGAAAAACATTACTGACAAATAAAATCCACCTTACCAAAGTAAAACATTCACAGGTATCATATTGAAATAAAGTACTTTAATATCTTGCTGAAAAGATGTCAACAAATAATCAAATTTTACCTACCCACTGCTCCAATTAAGCACATTATGACCAGAAGCAGGACACACCAGAGGACATCTGTGTTTGCTCTTCTTTCTAATTTGCTGCGCTTATAACGTGGCCCACTGTTGTTCAGCATTGCTTTGGTTTCATGGCCTACAAAGGATGTGCAGTATGATAGAAAATGTACAAATTAAAGCCAGGAAGCAAATATCATATTTAAAAAACTCTCTGACAGACAATTTAATAAAACACAGTTACATGATCTATTTTGTCAGTTTAATTTTCTTTTGTGATTCATTTAGAAAACCAGAGACCAATAATTAAGTTTGTCAAGACAAAATTTCCTTTCTGCCTTGACAGACTGCATTTTTGAGTTGAAAAATGTTAACTTGTAGAAAAGCACAAGGAGACAATGGAAATTAGGAACATAACCAACCTGCATAAACCACAATGCCCACAACAGCCTCCGTGTTTCTAATGGTGCATCCTCTAAGCAACAAATTTTCTTTACTGAGACCCACGCGTTCTTTGTTGAAATGTTCTCTGTAAGAAAGACAGCATACAGATTCACTTTTAAATAGCAAAAGTGGGGATATAAAAATAAATCTCATGGCCCTTGGAGTAAAAAGGCATTTCACAGGAAAGGTTTCAAATTTCTGGCCCATTTACTTTGGTTATTTCAGTTACTTGCTTTGTTGTTGTCAGTTTTGTTTATGGACTTTTAGGTTCAGGGATACATGTGCAAGTTTACTACATAGGTAAATTGTGTGTTGCAGGGCTTCGGTGTTCAGATTTCATTACCCAGGTGATAAGCATAGTGCCTAAGAGGTAGTTTTTGATCCTCATGCTCCTCTTACCATCCAGTTTCAATTAGGGTTTCGTGTCTATTATTCTTATCTTTGTGTCTATATGTACTAAATGTTTAGCTCCCACTTATAAGTGAGAACATATAGTATTTGGTTTTCTGTTCCAGAATTAGTTCATTTAGGATAATGGCCTTCAGCTCCATCCATGTTGCTACAAAGGACATGATCTCATTCATTTTTATGGCTGCATAGTATTCCATGGTGTGTATATAGACCACATTTTCTTTATCCAGTCTACTGCTGATGGGCATTTAGGATGATTCTGAGTCTTTGCTATTGTGAATCAGTTACTGCTTTGTGAATCTGGGAAAATGATGCAACAAGTTTCTAACTATCACTGTTTTCAATGGTAGTCATTGTTTGTCAACTTCTTTTACTATAAAAAATATTCCAAGCAAGAATCCCACTTTTCTAGTACAAATATATTTAGGATAACTTAGTAATTGATGAGGGAACAATTTCTGATAGAGTTTAAAAATTATCATTTTCAATTTGGATGAAATCAAGAATCATTCTAGGCAATGATAATCACTGGCTGCTAAAAATTAATGTTTAAAAGGCTGATGGGAACTTTATAATCATAGGACAAGGCTGATAACACCAATCTTACAATGGGACAAGGAGACATTGTGGGCTTCATGATTTATGGGAAAGGAAGTCATGGCCCCACAGGTGCTTAATCAAACCTCTATTAGGTATTTCAATCTGGGGTCTATGGCTTCAGAGTATCTTTGAAGCCTTTGAAATTGTATTCAATATTTTGTGTGTATGTGTATATACATGTTTGCTATTTTCCAGGGAGAGACTCTGTTTCTTTCATTGGAGTCTAAAAATGTCCCTTGATAGTTTACAGATAATAAGATGGCCAGAGAAACATGTTAAATATTACCACAAGAATGCAGTTGGCCAGATCTAAAACATGGTAAATTCTACAGGCAAAATGATCTGCTTTATTCAGAAAATGAATGATGTAGGGGAATGAAAGGGGAAAGGAGAGGAAGCCCAACCCAAGGAGGAGGCAGTCATCTTAACCTAGGATGTGATAAATTCTGTAAGCTCAATGACTCCATTTATTGGGAGAGGAAATTTAGAGACATGTCAATCATATGCAAAGTATAGATCCTGGTTAGAATAAGACAACTATCAAAAAACATTTTTTCAGAAAATTGTAGAAGTTTGAACAAAAGCTTGGTATTAGATGATATTATGGAATGGTTCTTAATTTTTGTTAGGTATGATAATGCTACTGTGGTTGTGACTTATTTAAGACCTTATCTGGTATAAGTAAAAGTATTTACGGTGAAATGACACAGTGGAGGGGTAGGAAAGGAAGTGGAAGCACAGATGAAACAAAGATGGAAAAACTGTGAAACAGCCAAGGTTGAGTGTCAACACATGGGTGTTCATTATACCTTTCTTTTGCTTTCTCATGCTTGAAAATTTCTGTAATAAACAGTTTTAAAATTATTGAAGTAATTGTTTGACCAAATTTTACAGTGACAAAAATACAGAGCAACATCACTGGAATATTTAAATAAACAAGTAAAAAGTAACGGTTTTCACATATTTTGAAAATGTCCTTAGTTTCAGTATTAAAATCAGTTTTTTTTCTAAGCAATAAACTTCAATTTTAAAGTTATTGCTTGTTTCTTACATATATAAAAGTTGTCAATATAACTTTGTTATCTGGAATTATAATTAAAATAAAAGTAAAAATTATTCAAATAAGGTTTCACACTACAAAGAAATAGGAGGACAGATTTGTCATTCACTCTCATACTTTGTAAAACACTTTCTTCTAACAAGGATATGTTTACATTCGTTCACATATACAGGCTTGTACACAAAGAGATGGTAAAAGCTAGATGCATCCTTGAGTTTAAGCTAATTCAACTTTTCTGTTTTACAGATGAGGAAATTAAGTCCCAACATTCACATTTCCATATAGCATTCCCAGGGAAGCATCAGCCAGTCCTCAGCAATGTGGCATTTTTTTTCCCTAGAGTCCTTATAGGAAAGAATTTAATACATAAACTCATCGATTCCAAAGTTCCTCAGAAAGTATTAAGATTTTTTTTCCCCTGAAATCCTTATTTTTCACCATTAAATCACTTTGCAGTATCACTATTAGACCAAAGTTCAGCTCCTATATTGATTGCACTTACTGCAAATTCCAAAAATGTCATGTATTTTACATGTGTCTGATAATTGGCACTCATGGTATGGAACCTTCAGAGTTTTGTATGAGGCAGTGGCTGTCACATACAGCTTCCATGAAACATCTATTTACTATGTACCCAGCACTCCAAACCAGATGCTAGAAATAGAAAAACAAACATATGCAGTCTGGATTCCCATGGTCTAAGAGGAGGTAACTGAGGTAGAGACATGTAAGTGTAGTCAAAATATGATAGACAATATGATAGGAATCTGATATTCAGTATACAGTGTAGTCACAAATAGGGAGGATGTCAGTTCTACCTTAGAGCATGAAGATCAAAGAAGGTGTCATATAGACAGGTAGCTTGAGCATCTCAATTTGTGTTTAATTTTTGAAAGCAGGCCACAAAACAGGAAAAAAAATAAGGAGCTAGTTTAGTGGATCAAAATAATTCTACAGAAAATCACTGTATCTACCTAAGCTGATTCTCGTATTAAATGCTTCCCTGTCAATGGCTGATGGCAGCTCTCAGGATGGACATCAACAGAACAGACAAAGGCCCCTCCAATCACTAGGGAAGGCAGAATCTGAGGATTCTCGGAGACTGGCCACTTCAGCAGTCAGGACATGATAATCAGCAAGTAAGGGAGCAAATTTCAAAGCAAACTGATATCAGAGGAGCCCATCACAAACGGGGGAATCAAAGGGCAGGGAAACATGGTGCCCAGAACCATAGGGAAAAGTGACAATTTGGATAGGCAGAAAGCTAGTAGGGCCTTGGAACTAGGTAAGGGCTCTGAAACAAGGCACAGCAAATGATGCTCGAATGTGTCTCTTAAGAAGAACCAGATCCAAAGGATAAAATGAGGCTGACAAAAGTCAGCTCGGCTCCAGTCCCAGATTGACTGATTGATTGATTGACTTTTGAGACAGAGTCTTGCTCTGCTGCCCAGGCTCCAGCGCAGTAGCACAATCTCAGCTCACTGCAACCTCCACCTCTCGGGTTTAAGCAATTCTCCTGTCTCAGCTGCCCAAGTAGTTGGGACTACAGGCACATGCCTGGCTAATTTTTTTATATTTTAGTAGAGATAGGATTTCACCATGTTGCCCAGGCTGGCTGCAAGCTCTTGAGCTCAGGCAATCCACCCACCTCAGCCTCCTGGGGTGCTGGAATTACGGGCATGAGCCACTGTGCCCAGTCCAGAAATTTTGAATTACTTGTCAAGTTTACACCAGAGCAAACAGGTCTGAGGTAGTAAGAGTTGGGAGTCTCAGACACTAGACAAACTATCAGAATTGGGACACAGAATCACAATTTGTGTGGCAACAGTGTTCTCATACATTAAAGAAAACCCTACTAATTACATGCACTGGGCCAGATTCTTTGCAGAGTGCTATGCTCCAGACCAGAGTGCTAGACTAGAGTTCCTTCCTGTTCTCTCCACTGCATAAACCAAATGCATCCTGCCAGGGGCAACTCTGAGCTCATTAGGGAGTCGGCATGCCCAACTATAGAAAGAGGACAGCTGTACAGGCTGCTTCCTATGACAGATCTGACCCCAGGTCAAAAAAAGGCAGCCCTGAATCTGACATTTACAAGAGGAAACTTTATTCACAGTCAGCAGCTAGAAGAAATGATCCTTGAAAATAACTCATTCTAAGAAATGGCTTATGAGCATGTTTCTGATGAGAAAGGGGCAGCTGCCTAACTTCTTTTCATGAAGACCATCTGAAATTTCCATGGAAGGATTTTTCTAATACTAAACCCAATAACTTCAGGATAACTGTTTCATTTTAAGCAAAATACAGAAGGCCTTTCAGGCTCTGGCCTCTTCATGATCTGCCTTATTGCTCACCTACATTCCAGACATACTTAGCCACACAGAACAATAAAAATACACTGCAGTCTCAGGCCTCTAGGCTCTTGCCTATGTTGCTCTCACAGCTTGAAATGCCAGCCATTCTTTTCACTTTATTGTTTGCCTGGCATCTTCTCATTCTTGAAGATTTAATTCCAGCATTATCTCTTAACTAAGACTAAGCCTTTCCTCTTTCCACTTTATGGCTCCCTCCCTGATCCTACCCTACCAGGCGTCTGTATTCAGTGTTACTTAAATATGCTATTTGAATCCTGAATAGACTAATAATAAGTGATGAAATTGAAATATTAATAAAACACCTACCACCATCACCAACAAAAAGCCCAGGGCCAGATGGATTTATAGTCAAATTTTCTCAGCCGTGCAAAATAAAAGAGCTGGTATCCATCTTACAGAAGCGATTCCAAAAAGTCAGAGGAGTCAGGTTAGGGGCTCCCTAACTCATTCTATGAAGCCAGTATCATCCTGATACCAAAATTTGGCAAGGAAACAACAACAACCACAAAGAACACTTCAGGCCAATATCGCTGATGAACACAGATGCAGAAATCCTCAACAAAATATTAGCAAACCAAATCTAACAGCACATCAAAAAGATTATCCACCATGATCTCATGGTTTTATTCCAGGGATGCA